CGGCCTCGAACTCTCCCGTCCCGGCGGCCACTATGAGCACAGCCACGTCCGCCTGTGAGGTACCGGTGATCATGTTTTTGATGAAATCTCGATGACCCGGGGCGTCGATCACTGTCACGTAATACCGGGGAGTCTCGAACTTCCAGAGAGTGATATCAATAGTGATTCCGCGCTCTCTCTCGGCCTTCAGTTTGTCCAAAACCCACGCGTACTTAAAGGATCCCTTTCCCATCTATGGAGGGGTGGGGGTAGAGGTATGGATAGGGGTTAGACACGTGTCTCGCATCACAGCAATGGTAAGCCTACCTCCTGGGCCTCCTTCTCGAACTTCTCAATGGTTCTCTTGTCAATACCCCCGCACTTGTAGATCAGATGTCCGGTCGTCGTCGACTTCCCGCTGTCCACGTGTCCGATGACAACGCAATTGATATGAGTCTTCTCTTTACCCATTCTGGTGATCGTTTGGCAGACAATTCACGGCTTATTTGTCTTAAGCAACTGATCGCAAAAAATAANATGAGTCTTCTCTTTACCCATTCTGGTGATCGTTTGGCAGACAATTCACGGCTTATTTGTCTTAAGCAACTGATCGCAAAAAATAATGACAAAAAAAGTTAAATTAAAATCCAGATAAAAATCCTAATTATTGATAGAGAGATAACACGTCAGTCAAGAAATGGCTAACAAATGAATGCCTTTCAGACAAAACACGAAATCGTTTCTCTCTCATCTCAACTGACATTACAGTCAACGCATAGACACTAAAACTCTAATACCTTTTGACACACAATTAAGTGACAAGACTTGCGATTAAAGCAAAAATATAACAATTAAAGGGTAAGTGTGTGGTGTGAGTGCAGTGCCGGTGCAATGCTTTCCCAATGCCTGCGTTCATACAAAACGGAAATGGATGGCGAAAAATGGCGGACAGGGAGGCAATGGTATGGCTATACACAGGCATTGCGATTGCATTGCGAGAGCACTGGTAGCCTACGATAGTGTCAATGCGTTAACACTGCGTTCAACGCCAGCAATGCGTTCGTGGCTTTTAATCGCATTTCACACAAAACACACATATTTTAGACATTTGTCACACAATTGCTGTAAAATCATATGTAAATCGCTGCGAAAACTAACGCTAATTTAGGAGTAAATTAAATTCAATAAAGTTTTAAATCATTTGAAATAAAGCCAAAAAGCATAAGAAAATGAATGAAAGCGTTGGCAATGCGTTGAATGCATGGCTTATACTGATGAACGCCGGCTTTGCTTACAATTATTTGCAATGAATAGCAGTGTTAACAACAACTAAATGGTCACTGAATTAAGCGGTTTATGAATACAATTAGTTATAACTCATGAATAGATAAGAGAAGTGTTTATAAGAAATGTTAAGAAAAAGCAAATGAATGGCAAAACACTTACAATGATGTTCACAGTGGAGCGCACAGTATAGAAGAGGTCTTCAATATGCTATGCCGTGCCTTAAGTAGTCTGTGAGAGGGCTGTGATGTCACCGGTGCTGGACTGCCATCGCGTCCTCCCATTGGCTCACACTCTGCACATCCCTTCCAGTCATCCACTCATAGACCAGCTCTCAATGCGTTCATAACTAACGTGCGGTCCGTTTGCAGGCATTCCCATTGCCTCACCACTCGGTTCATTGTATGTGTCGCTCATTATAGCGATCATACATTTCGTGTCCATTACTATTAGACCGTATTGTAGGCCACAAAGTGTTCATATGTTCACTGCATCGGCGGTTGTGGCACTCATTCAGCCATTTAAACACCATTTCAAAAGTGGTGCAAAAGTTTTGAAACTTACATTCCTATGCGCCATACGGTACGACACTTGTCGTCATTGATGGGCACCGGGAGGACAGTTGTGTTGTGTTTTGGGTTTACGAATGGCGAGTGTATTGAAAAGTTGGTTTCAATTTGGGATCAAACCGTTGGTGTGTCTCAGTGTCCGCCGTAAGGGGGGTCCGAGTTTCCCCAACTTCGTGAACCTGCCGCCCACTTACCCCATCACTGGCATCGGTTCCGTATACGACACACGAGTGGTGCGCAAGAGACAGGTGCCCGACCTTAACCTCCCATCCCTTGAACGCCAGGAAGCCCTGAAATGGGCTGATTGGCGGATGTTGAGGGACTGCCGCCGAAGGATTATCTTCTCGCGATATCACCCGCAGAAACAGATCCTCTACACCATCCGTAAGAGTAAACTATTGCCGTCAAATATCAGGGTAAGTTTTGTGCCGTTTGCCGTGTGTTTAGCGCTTTTGTCTTAACGGTGTTGTAATGGCTGCAGGAGTTGGCTCACGAGGAGAACCGGAGCCTTCCGAGAGACGCACTCATCCATCATCTGACCAATCGTTGTATCATAAGCTCGAGATCCAGAGGCAAAGTGCGGAGATATAAGTTGAGTCGACACATGTTCAGAGGGTTAGCCGATTATAACTTACTGTCCGGAGTGGCCAAAGCTTGCTGGTGACCACCCGAGTCGTTATCATCACCACAAGCTGTTCCCATTCATCAGATGATATATTAGTAGATTAGTGGACACTGTTTTAGTCAGCAATCGTTTAGTAGTTTTTGTGATTAATAATTAAGTTTATCGATTAGTTTTACGATTAATATTACCGATAATTAAGACACTTTTGAAAGCAATAAATTGTTTAAACCAATGATTAAACTCACGTTTTGTAACCAAAGAGTCCTCGTTTGGGATCCAAACGGTGAGACTTTTCACGCAATTCTCGTATAAAAACTAATTTTGTTTAATAAATGATTTGTTAAATGTTTGGTTTAGATGTGAGTTATTTAAGAAAAATACACCGAATTGTGGGCTCTTTTGTTGGATCAATGCCTGGGTCACTGAAGTGTCAAATACTAGACATGAATATCGATGTCTTGGAGGCCGAGGCCCGGCAGACGGCTATCAAACACGTGTCAAATATGCTTCAAAGACCCGATCAGTTGGAGAAAGTGGACCAATACAAGAGACGGGTCATACGCAAGAAGGTATCACTCCATCTGATCCATACACCCATACATTTGACCACTCATTGACCACTCATTATCTCATAGACATCGGTGGAGGGGATGCTGAAGACGGCGATGCAGACACAGTTGGATGGCGTGCGGACGGGTCTCATACACCTGCAGACATCACAGCAAGACATCCATGAAATAAAAAAGACACTCAAAGAAGTGGAGGACACCTTCCCAGTCGTCCCAAATCTGGTCGAGAAGTTAAAGCTCGTGAGGGAGGAGTCGATGAAACACTCGCAATACGTGGCGGCGATGGAGAACTTGAAGCACATCTTCAATGTTCCCGAAACGGTTCAGAAGACACGGGACGCCATCGCTGAGAGCGACCTACTCATCGCTCACCAGTATTTAACAGACTTAGAGAACTCGAGGGACGACCTCCTCTTCGAACTGCACAGACTTCCGGCCACTTCTACGGCCGACAAGAATATGTTGAAACACTATTACTCCGAAGTGGAGAAGTTATCGGAAGAGTTGGGCAAACAGTTATGGCTTCTCATAAGACTTACCCTAAACTCTGTGCGTAAGGAACCGGCGGTTATCGTAACGGCGCTCAGGATTATAGAGCGCGAAGAGAAGACCGACGCCATGGCTCTGAAGCGGGCCGACACCACGGGCTTTATGCCGACCGGTCGGCCCAAACAGTGGCGAAAACGAGTGTTTGAAATACTAGAAGAGGCCATATCTGAGAGAATAGCCGGCAATCAGTTCCACGACAGACACCAGAACAAGATGTGGCTCGTCCTGCATCTGGAAGTGACTCGCATTCTGTTCATCGAAGACTTAAAAGTGGTGACACAGGCGTGCGTTCCGTGCTTTCCTCCGCATTATAATATAGTCCAAGAGATGCTTCATTTGTATCACAAATGTCTGAGTAGTCATCTGCAAGAGTTGGCCAATGAGTTGGAGGGCAATGAATACGTAACTCTTCTCAATTGGGTTCAGGCCTACGAGGGGCCGGAACTCATGGGACACAACGACTTGAAGTTTGATATCAAAGCAGAAGGTCTTCCTCCGCTTCTTCCCAAACCAGTTGTCGACGACTTGACGAACAAATACTTAGCGACCGTCGAGAAGAACTACAAGGAATGGCTGAGCAATACGATTGCCCGCGAAGTCAAGGACTGGAGCGGCAATAATCAGCCCGAATGTGATGAGTCCAGACATTATCAGACAACCACTCCTGTCATTGTCTTCCAAATGATTGATCAACACGTAAGCCATGGATTAGGTTAAGTGATTGATTGATTACTACATGAGTTGATGTCATGTTTAGCTACAAGTGGCCCGAACTGTCAACAAAGCTCTGGTTAATCGGGTGCTCATCATAAGTATGGATCACTTGTCGGCTTTCGCTAAGCAATACAAAGATGCTGTTAATCGGTACTCAAGGTCTCACTTCGAGAGTCGGAACCCACTGTTCACTCCTAATATGGTTTGTCTTTCATTGAACTCTAGTTTAAGATGTTTCGTACAAATTCTCAATCTTTCATTGACTTAATACTATAGATCGCAATCACAAACAATTGCTTGAGTTTTACGGAAATCGCTGTCAATTTCAGACAGGAATACAAAAGCGATAAAAGTATTACAGATAATGAAGCGAAGAAAGTGTTCGATAATGTCGTCAACTCTTTCGAGAGACTCAAAGAGGAGAGGTTTGTGTGAATTCAATGAATGGATAATTGATTTTCATGTAAACCTTTATCTCAAAGTATCGGACATTTATTATACGAGATATTCCTCGATGTGGACAAAGAGATCATGAAAGTTGGGTCGCAGGAGTGGATGGAGTCTAAGATCAGTGTTATTGAGAACATATGTCTAACACTTGAGGATTATTTCCGAGATTATGAATATCTTAAAGAGGAAAACTCGGATAGACTTAAGATTTTACTGCAAAACAGATTAGCGAAGGGATATATTACAGCGATTCTGCAAAAGTAATCAATAAGTGAAACAAAACTTACAAATTCTTATAACTATTATTATATTTTGACAGAAAAATGCAATTAAAAAATCAAAGCCAAAGAGAAATATTCTCTAAAAAGTTCATCAGAGAGGGAGAGATACTAAAGGCAGCCGTCGCTAAATTGCCCACAAAATTAATCGCTAAACAGACGGTTAGTTTCAATTGAATGACTGTAATATCAAACTAAACATTTCACTCGTTTTGTTAATCACAGAATGACTCGCCGTTTGATTGTTTACCACTTTTGGCGGAACTATTAAAACTCAAAGACTTGAGTCTCTTATTCCTTGAAGTGTCGGTCAGTGTCTGCTCTTCAAACTGATCCTAAGGTTGAGATGGAAATAGTTTTTAAATCGACTCTTACTTCCAAAACATAGGGTTTAGTGAAGAAGTATCCGGACATTAGAGTCGAGCATTTGGTGGCCTTATTAGGCCTTAGAGAAGATATGCTTAAAACTAATGTCAAGAAAGTGAGCATTGATTTACAAATTAATGTTTTATTAATGACAATACAAATGACAACACATTTATTAATCTGTTTGATAGCAAGTGGAGGATATGATGTCAGAGTACGAGCTCACAAACGATGTCCAAACCATCTTCTCGGAGATCACACTCAACTCATAATTACAATCAACGGTATGGACAGGGATTGAGTGGACAGTTAGCGCGCGTCGAACACAATCACTGCAAATAGGGATTCAATTAACGATTAAATACTAAAACTATTTATTCAACTATTTTTATAAATAACATGAGATTTAAAAACTATTTTGTTTGCAAACTTTATACGGCTTTATAAACAATAAGACAAAAAGTGGTCAAATCTCAAGACATATCATACATCGTTTGGTGCGCTTCTTATACATGATTCTGTAGCCACACTCTCGACATCTGATCGGATCCTTGGGTTTGATCTCATTGTCGTGATGACACTCTATGGCATCAAATCAATTGGTCATCAATTAGACAATTATCACAATCAGTGACTATAATAGTTAGCAAAACATGTAATACCGGCGCAGATGTAAACCATGGGTTGCTTTGGCTGAACGGGCGCCTGATCTTTGTTTGAATCCATACCACTCTCTGATTGATAATCAATTGATTATTATCTACTGATTACCACAATTCAAACACAAACTCATGAAACGCTTTCTCAATGTTTATAAACTTAGCGATTGTTTTGAAATGCAATGCCTTTGCAAAACAGTGTACTTTCTATTTGGACCCTTTTTACATATACTAAAGGGTTGAGTTGTGACATAAATAAGTACCAAACGATATAACATACCATTTAAAATCCACCCATTGGACAACATAACCCCTCGCACTGTGATTGGATAGTGAATGCATTGACTATCCAATAGACATTTAAAGCCAATATATTTGAGTGAGAAATGAGTGAAACAACTGTTTTGTCGGCTTTAATGCCATAAAACGTATGAATCCTTTGATAACCAAAACAAGTCTTTTGAGTGGGATTTATGTCAATACATGTGATTACTTATGGGAACCACTTATAAGACATCCATATCTCAGATGTTGTGATAATATCCGCACAAAACACATACTCTCAACACAAATGGATTATAACATCCGTTGATTGCAATGATTTGACACTCAATTCAGATGTGAATTCAAACCAAACACTCATTGCATCCTTCAGTCTACTTAATTTTCAATGCATTTACGGTTTACTTAATATTTGTATTCATAATAATCGCAAACCTATTGAATGTCTGCCACCGAAGACGATCACGAAGACATGTATGCCATCGAGAGTGTGGACCAATACGTGGACCTGATCGCAGAGTTGAGTCCATACCGACCAGTTCTGGAGCAGGTGTTGGGCTATCTGTCAGCCCGTGACTTGTGTCGCATCCCCTGTGTCTGCAAGACGTGGAAAAGCCTTCTCTGCGAGACTTACGCCAAATCGGAGGCCAACCGACGGCGTGTGCGACACCTCAAGAGAGTCCGCAAACTACGCA